CTATTTCTTTAGCCCCCCCCCCCCAATTTTTTCTCCAGGTCTTTTTTGTGCTAACGCCCTTTGTGGGGACTAGGCGATGACATTTAGTTTTCTTTGGGAAATCAACAGAAACATGACTCTTAAGTAGGCACTTTGAGAAATGCAAGAGCAAACAAGCATATGTGATACTGTCCAGTGGCATATTCCAGCCTCCCAGCGGTTCTCAGCTGGGGTACTTTCTGAGCTGGACATGGTTTCAGTGTATTTAGTAGTCTTTGGTTGTCCTCCACGAATATGTCCATCTTCTCTTGAATTTGTGTAAACTCTTCATTTACAGAACATTCTTTGGGTAGGAGTGGCCTGCATGAAGGTGATGTGCAGTGAACTGGTTCATTTTACCCTGACTCACTGGGTTTGTTTGATAACTTCTTGTTCCAGTATTAGAAGATGAATCACTGCTCTCTATTCATCCTGTTTGTGCTCTTCACTAGCTTGTAGGCTTCTGGCATGTTTCTGTTGGCCATCCTCTTTTCCAGACTGAGGCATCCTCAACTTTCTTCCTTGTTCCTTGTTATGGGAACCATTGCACACCCTTGATCATCTCCATGGCCCATCTCTGAATATTTCCCAGCTCTATCTTGTCCTTCTTTAGATGAGAGGACAAGAATTGCGGACAGTGCTCAATTTGTGGGTGATAAATGGATTAATATAGTGGCACGCAGGAACAATGAGTTATGCTTTTCTGCAATAGATACACAAAAATATGTAGAATGCAAGTTGTCTGAACAAGAGTTGAAAATAATGTGCTGGGAACTTAGAGGAAACTGGAAAGCAATATTGGATGAGTAATTGTGTGCTGGATAGAGAAGTACTAGACGCTGCATCATCAGTTCAAAATCCTAGATTATTTTTAATTGTCACCTTGTTTGACTTTCATTTCACCCCATTTAGAGGATTCATAGAAGTGGAAACAGTATTTTTCTTGATTCCGGCAACTGCAAATGAAACAGAAGTAGCACACTTGGATCTTTCTTTGTTACTGCTTTGAGTGGGGGAAATCTGTTGAGTGGTCTTCAAAACCAAGGTGAAGATCATTTGCTGACTGACATGTAGCAGTTTCAGAATTAGAATTTTAAATTGTTCTTTCTTTGGGAGTTTTCTATTACTGCTGCTAACTCTAGACATTTTAAGTGTGTTATGCTTCTAACATGGCTCACTTCTCTGCCAGAGAAGTGAAGAAATGCCTTTTCTTCCAGTGTTCTCACTGCTGTTGCTTTGGTCATAACTAGAATGGCAAGGGCAGACAGTTGGCCTTCCAAGCACATATCTGCCTATTCTGGTGATCTAGGGGGGTTTTGCCTCCAATTTTATTTTGTGTGGTACAAACGATTTTTTAATTGGACTGCACTTGGTGTTTGCATTGCTGATTAACTTCATATACAGGACATGAAGAGATACTGGTGTGTATTTAATTTTGGATTGACATAATGGTAAATGTGATAACTGAACACCCTAAACCTTGTTTTGTTTTAATATCTTTCCAATTCTTTTCTTGTTTTAGTGTCTTCTCAGTTCTTATCTTAAGACAGTAGACATTTTCTATTCATTCGGTGAAAAACATTATTATTGAAATCTTACTTTGCTCAGCATAATTTATACATTGCTTTGAAAATCGTTAAAACACAAATACGTGTGTCCTTATACAGGCAGATACTGCTTTGACAGTTTATTTATATTACTCTAGTTTCTATCTTCTAAATCTAGTAGTTGGGAGATAAAAGTAGACTGATTTAGACTTGAAGTAATATACAACCAGACTAATTAAAAGCTAGTTTGTGGGATATGGATATTGACACTTCAAGTTTGAAGTCAGATGGCTTTAGGAAAGAGCTGTTTTAAGTCCAGAGGAAATAAGTGGCTACAAATTTCAGGCAATGTTGGACAGTAGGTCAAACTGGAGAGCTAAAAATTCTGAAGTGTGAGTTACAGTTAAACCTTTTCATGACACTTCTAAAATGACATAAAAGTTGTGGTTGTCATCTTTAATATAGGAATTATAACAGACTTTTTGCAATTAGTCTTTTTGTATGGAGACTTGCAGTTTGTATTAGCCTTGGTGCCTTTCAGAATGTAAAATAAATGGGCCAGGGCTTCAAACTGCTGTTGGTTACAGAAAACAGAAGCTAGAGAAGCCCTCAGTCTTGTGATGGGATCTGTGTGGCCTACCAGGCTGGTCTTTTTAATTATATGTTAGACTAAAAGTTCATAAATCTGCTTAGTTCCAGCAGATCTGGAAGCAGGAAAAAAGTGATCTTATATTTACTTCATAAAAGATTTCACCATATAAATAACAGACAGCTCAGTTTAAAAGTAATGGCCTAGCCCAATTTTTGTATTACAGTAATGTGTCTAGTACAGTACTGTACTCTAGCAGTGTAAAACCAGGATGACAGTAGAATGGAATTGGCACCAATTTCTCCCAGTGTCTGTCTAAACTGCTTTCTTTCAGTTGTGTAATACATTCACCATGGAATAAACCAGTTAGCTTCCTGTTTGGCTTCTGGGTAATCTCAGAGTATGGCCTGAAGAGAAAACTATTGTTTCTTCTAAGGAATAACATAGGAATTGATTTCTGTATTGTTATATTATTATTTTAGTTAAGCATATGAAATACTTTAATTGAGCCTTTGTCCAATACATCTGCTGTGGGATTGAATCGGTAGCGATAACTGGCTGATACCTGCTGCTGTGTGGATTTCTCAGAGTGTGATTTTAGGTATTGTGTTGCAATAACTTAAAAAAAAATGTCTTCAGGGGCAGCAGACCTGCGACAGAGAAAGAAGCAAAACTGCACAGAATCTGACAAAATGGCTCCAGAGGAGAGAAACAAAGAAAACTCAAAGCTGGGAAGATCGCCAAAATGTAAGCTACAGAATTTTTAGCCAACTTCTGATTTATTTTTTTTCATTATTCTTGTATATTTTGTGGGAAGATATTTGTAGCACAGTAACTTCTAACAGACTTTTGTTGGATTAGGTTTTTGAATGTTCAAGAAGAAACAGGCATGCAACATTAGAATTCTTTAATAATGACATTTTATGTATTGCAGGGTAAAATGGTAGTCCTGGATTGTTTCAGGTTGAGGAAGGAGAGGAAGGGGAAGAGGGAGAGGATTTAAGAATCTACTGTTGTTACTATTTTAATTGCACCTGGAATGATCTTTCAGTTGGGAAGCTGAAAGGCATGAAGGTACTAAAACACAAACAGGCGAAAAGTCCTTACAGCTTTTTAAGAAACAGAACTAAAACTGGGTGTAATTTTAGGCAAGTTCTTACCAAACTAAACTTACAAAAACTTTTATGTTAAAAGAGCATACTAACTTGAGGGAGCTACAGGTGAAGTAGATGCCCATTGAATGAGTTTGAAAAAATTCAAATTAGTTCCTTCCTCTTATATTTAAAAACAGATTGGAGAATAGAATGTCTCACTATTGATGTTAAATGTGATATTGCCGCCTCTTTCCATTAATGTCGTTAAGAAGTTTGTGGTATTTTGGGTAAAATCTAGAGTTTGCTCTGTTTATTTGGAAAGACACTTCTTGGAATTTGTTTGAAAATGAAGCTTACTAGAATGGAGATACATTTGCAGTGTAGTGTGTGAGTATTTTATCTGAGAGTCCTATGAAGCAATGGTAACAACTAGGAGAGAAAACTCTGTGGGAAAGGAATAACAAACCAGTTATTGATGCATCTATGCTGCTGCTGGTGTGATAATTCTGATGCCAATAAGTTTACTTGCTGTTTGGAAATGAGTCTTATGTCGGGCATACTGTTTGTTTCTAAGTCCTCTGAAATATTTTAGCTTTTTCACTGTCCCTTTTCAGATATGTTAATTCAGCGTTTTGCGAAACTTTTCTTTGGCTGTCTTGCGGCAGTCACTAGTGGAATGATGTATGCTGTGTACCTCTCAACATATCATGAACGGAAATTCTGGTTTTCCAGCAGGCAGGTAAAGAAAAAGTTAAACTATTGAAACAAAAGCCAGATTGTGTTCTTGAAATCAAAGCTGAGCCATGTCAGGTTGGAACTACTTGCTTGCAGAATTCCATGTCCTTCTATTCAGGCCTCTGCTTTGATAATAGTCTCTTTTTTTTTTTTTTTTTTTTAAATAAAGTGTTTCTCCTACCAGAAGTAGTCTTGTCATGCTTTTCTTTGAAATACCTTTCTAAAATTTGGAGAAAATACTGAAGTATATTGGGATAGCATAAGATAAAAAACAGGAATGTATGGCCTGGTTGTTTGTTGGGCTTTTCTTAACAACTGTGTTATTTAGCGAAGTGTGGAAAGTTGAATGAAATTCAGATTTGTGAATATGAAAGGATTCTGTGGGTCTTGTGCTGACTTATGATGTGGATTTAAGTTGCTTTGATTCCAAGCATGTTTGCTAAGTTATAGAGAGCATTATATACCTGACAGAGGTGCTGTGAAGATTAATGTTTTGTGGAATACCTTGAAGATGTACAGTGGAGTCATAACCATGTACTGTATTACAAAATGAGTCTATCTGAAAATATATAGTCTTCGATGGGAAGAGATTGCAGGAGGTGAATATATTTTTTTTTTTTTTCTTCTAGGAACTTGAACGAGAAATTACATTTCAGGGTGACAGTGCCATTTATTACTCATTCTATAAAGAACTGCTAAAGGCTCCTTCCTTTGAAAGAGGTACAAGACTCCTTTGTTTTATTAACCTTGAAAAGTCCTGTTCCTTTTGGAGACAGGAAAAAACCTGCAGATTGGAGGGACTGATTTTATACTCTTTTATATCAGTTGAATTAATTAAAACTACATACTGTCCTAACTTTTCAGTACCTTTTAAAAAACACTATTTAACTCTCCTGTATTCCAGCAGATTGCCTTTTAATCAGTACTCTGGAATAGTATTAATATTACTTTCATATTGCCCTGTGTAGAAGCTATTGTTGATTTTGTCTATGCTACATAGGGGATTTTCTGCCATGTAAGCATAGTTTACATTTAGTTTGGGAACAGGGGATTGAAATTACATTTTTCCATCCTCTATCAGAAGATGGAATGGTTTCTGTCAATAGTTGATCTGCTCCATCCTGTCTCTGCCAGAGGTTTCTGCTCTTGTCAGCTATAGTGAATAGATGTTGAAAAGCACTGAGTGATGGGGACAGAAACCAAGAGGAAGGAGAACAAACTGGGTGGCAGTGGTCTCTCCTTTCTTTGTGCTCGTGCTTTTTAACCTGCACGGGCTCTGGAGCTCACTGACCCTAGATCACTAAACCAGCAGAAAACTAAAGCAATGAAAAGAAGACGGAGCACACTGATGCTAGTTTAGTGAGTTCAGAAGGGCACCTGGGCTATCATGGTGAAAAGGTGTGAACTCCAGGAGAGAACAGGGAGTGAACAGCCCTATCTTGCAGTGGTCAGGCATTGAATTAGCTCCAAAGCCAGTTAAACTTTGTAGGTATAGTTTTATTGGTTGAACAGTTTTCCAGGTGATGTGTAACATGTCAGCAATATATAATGGGTCTTTGGTACAGTCATTTCCTCATTATCTCTGGGGAGATTACCCGTGCTGTGAATAGATGAACTGCCTCATTCAGGCATGCGGCCTCTGCAGTCAGGTAGACTCGTATGTCTGCTAGGTATTGTGGGCTTTCAAAAGGTGTATCATAGCTGTGCTGAACCCAGTTGTAAGTCCTGCAGGACTTGGTTTAGCCTGCAGAGAGCCAACTGCAGACCACACACCAAGATATGCTCAGATCTGGAAACATTTATCTTGTTTGGCTGTTGCATTGTTGTTGGACTTTTGTTCTTTTCTTTTTTTTTTTTTTTCTTTTTTCTCTAATTTGGTTTTTCCTCTTCCCACTATTGTCCTAAGTAATGACAAATCTTTAATATTGCAGAATGATGTATCCTTCAAGTATGCCATCTTCAATTTCATCTCAATCCCATACAAAGCTGTATTGTGTGAAGTGAGTGATTCTTGGAAGTCTAAGAAACACAGGGCTGAAAAGGGTGACGAGGCTGTCATATCTGACCTCTTTGTGGAGAGAGGTTTAATACATCCAGCTCATCCCCGTTAGAACTTTGCCTCCTGTGAAGGTGATCTGTAGGTAGCTAGTTTCAGGGCCACAGCAGTATGTTACTGAAAAGAGTCTGCTTCAGCTGGTTAATTTTGGGCCTTCTATTTAAAAACTAGATCAAAAAATGGTAATAACTTTGTTGCTAAATCAGTAGGGTGGAATGGCATCTGGCACAGAAAATTCTCCTTCCTTTAAAATTAGGAGTGGTGAATCAGTCAGTAGCTTTAATGATCAAATCTGTTACCTTTGAGTACACTTACACCTCTCTTAAGAACAGCAATAGTAAGTGATTCCAAGAATAATTTTTTTTTTTGTCTATAGGTGTTTATGAGTTGACACACAACAATAAGACAGTATCACTGAAGACGATAAATGCAGTCCAGCAAATGACTTTGTACCCAGAGTTGATTGCCAGTGTTTTATATCAAGCATCTGGTAGCGAAGTATGTGTATTTCTCCTACATTCTGTGCTTTCATTATGGTTATGTATGTGTGTACGTATGAGACATTCGATGCTGTGTACAATAAACACATGCAATTTTTGTTGAATTAATTGAGCTAAGTCTCTCACCAGGTCCAGGTTCTCCTCAATTCTGATCAGTCTCTGGCATAGGATTTTGGGGGTTTCTATGCACTAAGCTTTTCTGTCTGTTATTCTTTATTTCTGCAAACTGCTTAGTAATGTGGAGAGTATCTGTGGTATCCATAAAAAACATAAAGTTAGCTCCTTTGGAGTATGGAAGTCTGTTACAGTGGTACCTGTCTGTACCCATTCCCATATAGATAAAAAGGGAAAAACACTTCTGTAGATAAACCTTTTGTCTCTTTCTGCTCTGCTCAGGCATTGTTTTGCTTATGCTGCATACTTGTGTCCTCTCTCATTTATCTTTCTTTTTTTATTATTTATTTATTTTGGAACCATTTTTGCCACATCTTCACTTCTCCAAGTTCCTTCCTTACATAACTTCTTCCAGTAGTCTTTTGAATTTTATATCTCACTGGTGTATAGATTTATTAAATCTGACACATACAATGTTCATGCTAAAGCAAATAAAAAATCATGTCACTAGCAAGCTGAGTCGTGAAGTGTGCTCTTAATTCACACTGCTTTGTTCTCCCTGAGCCCAAAATAAAAGCATGCTCAATACTTTTCTGAAATAGGGGCCGTCTCTTACCTGTTTGTAAAGCACCTAGCACACTGTTAGCAGTATGCAAAGAGTAAATAGTAATCATTTCCAGCTTCAGCTCAGTTGCTGCTATGTCTCTTCGTTTTTATTTGTAATTTCAGGAAGTTATTGAACCAGTGTATTTCTACATTGGTATAGTTTTTGGACTGCAGGGAATTTATGTGACTGCATTGTTTGTAACCAGTTGGGTTATGAGTGGGACTTGGCTGGCAGGAATGCTGACTGTAGCATGGTTCATTATTAACAGGTAAGAAAAACATCTTTATACAATCTAGTTTGTCAATACGACATTTTAAAATACTAGAGCAAACTGAAATGCTTTCTCTTGAACTTTGTGTTCTCATTGTGAGAGCAAGCTCTTATGTTTAATATAGAACATTTCCCAGAGATGGACTGGTTCTCATGATGCTTTTATTAATGGAAGGGCCTCCTGTTGTCCAACCATCCACACTGCCAGTTGAACTGACTTTTATGTATGTGTGAATACAGGAGTATTCTCACACAGTTCCATTTTGCAAAAACATTCCTCAGAAGGTTTTGGTTTTGTGCTGCTGAAGAATGGAAACAATTTTTCAAAGTTGCTGTAAAACAGAATTGCTCTCTGTGGCCAGCTCTAAATACTGTGGTAGTTGTTCTGATGCTTAGAAGAAAATTACCAAGTGCATTTTTCGTGTTAAGTCTTTGGTATTTTTTTTAAATCTGATTTTTGTAGTATGTTTTTGTGCAAAGTGTAATCTTCTTAGATGCTCCTGATCTCAAGATTTTAAAACATTTCACTTGTAAGAAAATGTCCTTTCCCGTTATGAAACACCACAATAATAGAGAGCCTCATTTGGGCGCTGAGCATTCAGGCTCCTGGTTTGTCACCAAGTAGCTATGAGACTTTCTGTGAACTTGAGAGCACTTGAAAGAAAGGAGCTATGGAGGATCAAAATGTTAGAGATATACCTTTAAAGCTGAACTGTTGGGAAGCGTCTTTGAGAAGTGTGAAGTCATCATGACCGAATCTGTGATTAGTAGCTAAAAATACTGTTCTAGAAGCTGGTGTGAACAGTGGAAAGTAAGAAGAAATGGTGAATAAATCTGTATTTTTTTCAGCAGCAAAGAAGATTAAACAATGTTAATAAATTGAAAGGTCTAGTAGTTAAAAAAGCTCCAAATACACCTCTGTAAGAGGCTTCAGAGGTTAAAAATGAAAGGTGACATTTTCAAATATTTAAATGATAAAGGAGCTTGAGGCTCCTTTTAAAAAGCATAGTAGACACAAAGAAGACTATGTACTTCTGAAACTAATGCCTTTGATCATATTTGAAAGTGTGACTTGTGCTTCTAAGTCAATTTAGCACTTTTTAAAACTTTCTCCTACAGCTCTAATTGTGCAGATATTGTCAAGTCATTCCATGAGAAGACCCTGCATGCTCCCCATCCATCTTTAATCTCTTGTTTTGCTGGGCAGAATTTTCCCTGTAGACAGAGTATCTGCTGGTGGTGCTGCTATGAGGGAGCACTACTTTGGATTCTAAGTATGTTGTTCTCGACCGCCTAAATCACTTATTTAATACATATTGTATGGGAACTGACAGGAATCTTTTCTCTCAGCTGTGAGCTGATTTTCATCATAATGTGAAAAGCTGCTGTTACGGCAGCAGCAGTCCCCTGCCTATGGGCATAAGACCATTTAACACTGCTCGTGGCCAAAGAAGGCTCCGTTGTCACAGTGCAAGTTGGCAGGAGCAGTGTGTGATGTGTCCAAGCTTGCACAGTGTTGTGGTGGGTCAGATGAGGCTGGAGGCAGATGCTTTTTTGGCTTCAGTCCTGTAAACATCACCTAATAAGTAGACCTGCTGAATAAATGAGTACATATTGGACCTTCCATGCTGATATTAAATTTATGACCTGTATCAGCAGTGAAATTGTGTCAGTATTACTTTACACCTAATACAGGAATAGTTTGCTTGCAAGTCCACACTGATAACTAGAAGTGACATTTAGGTTTTCCTTGATATTTTTGGTTCCATAAATCTTTTAATAATTTTGTTTGTCTGTACTTTATTCTAGGACAGATACAACAAGAATTGATTACTCCATACCATCAAGGGAAAATTGGGCTTTGCCATATTTTGCATGTCAAGTAGCAGCTCTCACAGGCTATTTAAAAAAAAGCCTAAATTGTTCTGCTGAGGTAAAGCAAAATTAATTTCTTAATAATGGTAGAACTGTGCTCTAGAGTACTTATATCTCTCGCTATTACCCTACTAGGCAGAAAACAGTAGATGTTTTGTTTTGTTCTTTTCAAAACAGCCACTTGGATTTCACATAGGCATGTACAGTTTTTGCTGAGCTACTTGTGCCCTGCCCTGTTATGCCCCCATGAGGGTTCAGACAGAACAGTGTGGTAATGAGCTGTGTGCTGTCTTTTTAAAATAAACTGATGCAGAATTTTTCTCACAATGTAAACTATTTTGTTGCTCTTCCTGTTGCTTGGAGAAGATGGTGGTAACTTCCTTTCCCTGCCTCTCTATCAAAGATGTTTCTTCTGATTTGCTTTAAATGTTCTTGAATGTTTCAGTAATTACTTTCTTCCATCTGAGATCATGCTAAATATGTCTAAAGTCAGTATTTAATTATTTCCTAAAATAATAATTAATTTCTATAGTTTCTGTTTTAATGACCTCTCAGTTACTTAGTGACAGAGATGCATAGGTACGAAATTAATGCTTTTTTTTTTTTTTTTCTCTAGAAGTTTTGTTACCTTTTGGTGAGTGCTTCAACATATACCTTCATGATGATGTGGGAATACAGTCATTATCTCCTGTTTGTCCAGGCTGTTTCTCTTTTTCTACTAGACAGCTTTGCTCTGGCACAGACAGAGAAGGTATTAGAACTCTTCAGCCTACTGATAGTTGAGGACTTAAATACAGCCTCAGAGGTGCCTGCCATAAATGCTGCTTAGGAGCTCCAAAGGTCTCAGACTGAGTGATGACTCGAGTGTCTTGCAGCCGGGTCTGCAGCAGTGCATGTCATGGCCATCGGAAGAATAAAATGGCTTTAAACTCACTCTCTTTTGGACTACTGTGTTTGGGACAGTTTTCCTAACAAAAAGGTCAGAAGCTAAAGAAAGCTTCTGAGGCCTGAAACATCCTTGGAAGCTGAAAGAGTGATTAATGATACTCAGTTGTACATCCTTTTTGGCTTAGATGCCTCTTTTCTTTCCCTGATTCACGGTAGGGTGGGGCTGACCAAAAAACTGCTCTGTTGACATTGTGAAGTTAGGGGCTCATTTTCACCCTGAATGGCCTGCCCTGTACTGGTTTAGCCAATAAATAGGCTAAAGAGATGCTGAAGGCAAATTGATTTTTCAGTACAAGAAAGTATTTGAATTTATTCTGCAAAATGGTTCTTAGAAATATTGTAACAATAAGGCATTTTTACTCTGCCTGTTTCAATGGTATATATCCTACTTTGTACATGTGCACCTTCTAGTTCTATTAGATGTAACTTCAGTTTCAAACTGCATGCAATTCTGATTTTGTCACCTCTTCTTTCAATTGCTTTTTTTTTTTTTTTTTTTTTTAGTTCAAAGCAGGGTCCTTAAATTATATTGCAGAAGATGGGTGTTTTGCTACAAGTCTAAAGAATCAGCTGTCAGGGTTTCTAAGATCTGCTTATCAATTGGTAAATAACAGAAAGTATCAATAACAGTCTGTATTCCTGAGATAGGTTAAATGAACAAGTTATTGTGAGGAAAGCATGTAATCGGCTCTTTCACACAAGAAAGTGTGTGTTCCTGTGTAGTGTTGTAGTTACTACTTCATGCAGCATGCAACAATGAGGTGTTACAGAATGGGGAGACCTTGTAAAATACTACTAGTTTTGGCATTTTTACAGAATTCTTGTGAAGTAATTGTGCACTAGTTACTGAGGCTGACGAGGATCATTTTGATATGAAATACTTTCCACAGCCAAACAGTACCCTGCTAGATTCATGAGCTGGAGGATAGAGATCCATTAATCCTCTGATTAACAGGGGAATGGAGTGAGCTATCTACTGCTCTAAAAAGAAAGACCTATATCCACTGTAATTTTGTTTTATTCTGGTTTATTTTGTTTCTTCAACAGGTGTATGAAGTATACAAAATCTACTTGTTTTCTCTCTTCTTGGGGTACCTTTTGCAGTTTGAAAATTCAGCCTTACTAGTGTCACCATTACTGAGTCTTGTAGCAGCTTTAATGCTCTCTAAATGCCTTCAGGTAACTAGACTTTCCTCTGAGTGTAGTTTTTATTATTTAAATTGAACTCCAAGTGATACGGCATTCTTCAAATATTTTTGCAGATGAATACGAAAAAAGGTACATTTATATCAAGATTACTGAAAATAATGCACATTTATTTGGTACTTACAATAACAGTGACACTAAACTTCTTACTAAAGGTAAGATTCCTCTAAAAAGTGATTTTAATTGTCAAAATCTAAATGGAAAGTTGCAGGTGAAAAATTGTTTTAAGTGTTACTTATTGATCTGAGAGTTCATAGTAATTAATTGCAAATTGGAGTACTAGAAATTGAGTAATTTTAGATCGATGTAAAAAGTCTTTAAGAGCTCAAGCAGCTGTTTTTTGCTGGGGTTTTGGTCTTTGGGGTTGAGGTTAAAGCATAGTATAGAAATACTCTTTAAGTGACAATTTATCTTTTTCATAAATGTGGTTTTTGTTAAACCCTGGGTGGCCTCTACAAATTGGTCTGAATGTTAAAACAATATTCTTGTGCACAGGGAAGACCCAGTAGCCAGGTATGAGTAATCTCAGGGTAGATGTTAATTTTCAATTAAATTTCAACTAGAACACAGGAATGCCAGATCTTCACTTAGTGTAGGAGTCAACTAGGAGTTGAAATTACATGATGGGATTTTAGTCTGGTCTTGCATTTTGATTAGCAACTGTGTCTTGCTGGTCCTGCTCTTTTACATAATTTATTGTGCTTTTCCTCTATGTCTCAAACTCACCTTGGTTGTGTTAATTAACAGTGTCAACTTAAAAATAAAGATGTTAGTGAACCCTAAAAAAGTTTGAGAGAATGCTCAGATGTGATTGCTTTCATGTGCCATTCAGACTGGCTAGCCTTGCTGTATCTCCAGGAAAATAAAACCTAACCTTGAAAAATATGAGTTAAATTACATAGACTGTACACAGAACTTTTGGCTGCTCAAACACTTTATGTGGAGATTACAAATGCTCGTAACTTTTGCTAGGCTGCAGTCCTATTGTTTAGTGGAGCCAAATGCAGTGTTCTTTGGCTTGCTTGGGGGTAAGTCTATATCCATTTTTCATGATCCTTTTTACACTGCTTGCTAGCCTTTTGACAACTTATTGACAGCTTTTCAGTTGCCCTCCTCTTGGTGTACATGAATGGATGAAGGGAATAAAATTCTCAAGGGAACACTAAAGATAGATTTATTTAAGTGAAGATTTACAATACTATACTGGTGCCTTAATTGGCACACTTAATCCAATTTGTTAGTTTTAACTAAATTTCGACTAGTTGATTGTTCCCTGCCATATTGTAGTCTGAATGAAGTGACTATGTGAAAGCTTCTTCCAGCACTTGATTTTTCTCTACTAAATTAATTTTCAGGTGTTTGTTCCTCATAAAGAAAATGAGCATTTGCTGAAGTTCATTGAAGTAAAACTTGGCTTAAACACAACTAAGTAAGTTTTAAAATTCTTTACACCTTCTAAGATATCCGAACTTCTGAAACTGCTCTGAGAAGTGTAAAATTTCAGTGGCTTGTGAGAACTTTATAGAGGAGTTAGGGAAACAGTTTATATTTGTCACCTGGTTTTAAGATTGAATTTTAAAAAGTGCACATACAGAATTTACTCAGGATTTTGAGGTTTCTGAGGCACCTCAATATTTTTCGTGCCTCGGGGTAAAAGCATTTAATAGATTTTTGTTTTCTTTTGATGTTGAAGAGCAAAAACTTTCTGTACCCTGCCTAGTGTTTCTAATAAGACTTGAAAGGGAAAGGTGGTGGTACTAACTTTTTATAGCCTGGAAAAGAAAGGGCTCTGAAAAGAGTCATGAACTATCGATACTATTTTAAAACAGGGTTGTGTTGTGAGGTTTTGTTTTTAGAAAAAGCCCTGTGTGTTTTGGAAGAGTTTAGGACAAGGGACAACTTAAAAGTCAGAGACAATTATTGTGATTCTAAGAAAAACTGTTTGCATCTATAAATCTTGGTGTACAAGAAGATGATGTCATGGCTACAGATTTTCTGGAAAACTTCAAATGGAGTATTGGTAAGGACTGAGACACCTCCTGGACCCAAGCCAACACTTGCAATTCTGTGCAGGAATTGGGACTCTCTCCTGGGAAGTGCATCTCTTACAAAACTACTTCATAGCCTTGCAGGGGAAGAAGTGGAAAATGACATCACACAGAATTGAAATTGTTGGGGAATTTTTGGAAGACAGGATGTTATGCCGTGGTCTAAGATGCATTGTTTAACGCACATACGTGCACATTCTTAAGTGTTTTGCAAGAAAAGAAGGGACTGCTTCTGGTCAGGATTTCAGTTTAATCAGCTACCAGGTATTATGGATTTTATTTTTTTCCCCCGGGGACTTGCTACATGTTACTTTCCAGGCTGTCAAACTTCTGCAGTGAAGCCAGTGATTGAGACAAACTGGGTGCAACTACGCCTAGAAAATTGTGTAACTGTGGGTTGGAATTATGGTTTGCAGCACAAGAGCTTCAAGATCTGTTTCTTAAGCCCGGTTTGGACATGCTCAGCTGTTAATCTTTAAACTGATTCTGTCTAATTGAAAGTGGTTCATTTCTCTAGTCTTCCCTTGGGAGAAAAGAGGGAGGAAAGTGAAACAAAATAAGACAAGAATGCATTCACGACATCACATGCTGCACCAATTCCAGTTGAGAATACACATTGATAGTGCTTCTTGGCAGGGCATATAATCTTTCTGCTCATTAATTGAGAAAGAAGAATGATCAAATGTGTTCAGCTACAGAACTAGAATTTCAGCATTAAGGATTCTATTTTTGGCAGTGCCTCAGGCTTGTTTGTGATCTCAGATGGCCACTTTCCCTTCATCTCCCTGTTTGGAATGAGGACAAGCATACCTTCTTGCATCAATATCTCTAAAATCTTAATCCACTGTGACAATGAAGCGCTTTGTGGTCCCTGTAATGGAGTTATATGGGAGGTTGAATTTTTGTGATATAAAAGAATTGTAGTCTGGTGTCTTCAAATCACAGATTCTTTTTTGGAAGATAGGCTTTTGACAGTTGCTCTAAAGAGTACTTGCAAAGTGGTTTCAGATGATAAAAGGATAACTTTTCAAAGGAGAATTTCAAATAGTTTCCTATACATGAAGAGGTTAAACTGTGATTGGTTGTGTGCTGGATTTTTTTTTTCTAATCTGTGAGGGTATTGTTATTGTTTTTAATGGGATGTTTTTGCCTTACTAGGAATTTTACAATGAATTGGCTCCTTTGTCAAGAATCTCTTCAGGCGCCCTCCCAAGACTTTTTTTTGCGACTAACACAGTCATCACTGTTGCCTTTCTATATTTTAGTATTAATTATCTGCCTTTTTTCTGTAACTCAGGTCATTTTTAGGAGAATTTGGTAAGTAACTTACTTATACTGAAAAATAAGTTTAAAATAAGAGGTTCATGGATATCTAAGTGAATGATCATCATGTTTGTTACTCCAGAGTTTGCACCATTGAGCTTGCCAGGGTGTGAGCACCAGTGGAAAGGCCAACCAGAGGGTCCTAAAGAAAGTCCTTTAGTGAGAAGCTTCCTGAGCTTCCCTCCAGTCAGGACAGGGAGTTGTCATTCGTTTGTTTTGCCATAGGTGCAGTTCCTGCAGAGCTCTGGCTAATGTTTTGCAATATGTTTATGTCTCTTCCCATTGCCAGGGAGAAAGATGTTTTGTCTGTTTTCCCTTTCCAACAGCAAAGTTAACTGATTGTTGCTAGAGAATTTGTTTCTCTGTTTTGAGTTTGGTTTTCTTTTTTTCAAGTTTAGTACTGTGAAGGATGAGATGGGTGGAGTTGAGAGGATTTCAGATTGCTAATGCTTCACTGTTTGTTTTTTATAAACTCTGGTTTACTGTGATAAGATCTGTCAGCCTTTGCTGCTCAGAACAGAGCTGAAGTAAAACTGACTCAATTCTTTTTAGTTTCACAGTGATTCACAGTTCCCTTGAGAGAAGGGGTAGTGGAGCTCTCTGTTTACAGACTAAGAATAGCAGCACTAGATCCTAGTAACTTGTCTTGGAAACTCAGTGGCTAGGAATTTATCTCTTCCTCATAGAAGATGAATGGTGTAACTGCTCAGGTATTAAAGCAAATTTCTTACTTGTCTGCAGCAAAAGTCAATAGATTTTTTTTTTTTCCCAAGGACCAAGACTTCTAATAGATAGATTATACTGCTATAAATGAAAATGTCAGATTGGATGTGTGATAGTATATTCAAAACAATGAAACAAACTTACAAGTTTTTGGTAGTGGTTGAAATAGCTATTTACTACTTTCTAATGAGTATTGACTCCAGTATGTCCAACAGGGTTTTTTTTAAAGAAAAGCTTAAAATAAACCTTCTCCCCCCTCTTTTTTTTTTTTTTAATTTATTTTGAAGCAGTTAATCTCAAATATTTTTTCCATTTGTTGTGAGGAAGCTTATTAGAAAACTGTAGCCTGAAATCACACCATGGTAGAATAAATTACCTATTGCATACTTTACTGTCTTGTTTTGCAGAAGAACATTTGTTGTACAATTTTTGTTATTATATTTCTTTATAATATATTACTAGAATTTATAATAATGTGACTAAAAACTGGTTTTATCTTACTTTGTTGTAAAATGGTATACACATTCCATACACAATTACCATCCTACAGACCATAATTCTTCACAAAGCTAATGGTATGAAGAACCTTAGAATGCATGTACACCATGCTTCATCTAAATGTTTGTGGAGAGTGCATGCTCTTAAATTAGACTGTCTCTTGGTGCTAAATTATGTTAAAATAGGATTTACAGTCATAGGCAGTGTTCCCGTTGTATTAATACACAGCCATTGCTACAGAGAGGTTAGTCTAAAATAAGGAACAGTGGGTACTGATAGATCATTGATGAAGTACAAAATACAAAAAACAAATAAGCTGTACGACAATATTGCATGATATGACACAGAATGATCTCAGTGTACTGCTGACTTAATAGTCATAAAAGTATTTTATTGGCACCTTTGCCTGAGATAATGTCTGAATTAAGTGATGTCTCATTTTCTCCAACTGCAGTGGTGAACCACTGAAAGAGACAGTTAAACTTGAGGATGGTCGAATTGGAGAGAGGCCAGAAATAGTTTATCATGTAATTCACACAATTTTACTTGGTTGTCTAGCGATGTGTTTGGAAGGGTAAGTCTGATTTTGATGTATCTCTTTTGAAACCAAGGGAGAGTTTCTAACTAGATGTGATACACTGTTCATCCCTTTGAAATTCACCCCTTTGCAGAAATATGTTTGTTGTATAGTGGTACTAGTTAGTAGGGGAGAGAACAAAGACTATTTTGACTATTAATTGGATACAAGGTATATGGTGAATTGTGCTTGGTCTCTTTTATGTGCTTGGTCTCTTTTATGTGTTTTCCAAGCTTTAATGCAGCCAAGATCTAAGACACTAACTGAAGCAAGTTTTAATGACTTTATGTATGGTATTTAAGCATAGAACTGTGCTGTAATTCTTCTAATACTGTATTCTAGCAAGACCTTATGCAGTGTTTTGATGAACAGTGTATGTTCTGAAATATTGGGATGTGGAAGATTCCTTGTCCATCTTCTGGTGTCTAGGCTAACATGAAGTATAACTTAGCTTGACATGTTAAAGCAGTAGCAAAAGTTTTTTCAAAGGTATTGTGTTAGTCCTTAAAGCTACAGAAGCTAATGTGCAGAAGGCATTACTGTTCTAATCTTGTGTCTCAGCTATATCAGCTTGAAGGTGACAGACTTGTGTTTGTATTACACTTATCGTCCTAAAATCTGAACATTCACAAATTCTTAAAGTGAGCAGACTGTTGCGTTACCATGTAGTTGTTTTAACTTGACTAGTCTACCCTTAAGAGGCAGACAATACCAGCAAATCATAAATTGTTTATTAAATATTTTCCTTTCCTTTCTTCGGGAACTCCCTTATAGTACAGTGTCTGTACAGCTTTGCTGAATAGCTGCTTTTTATCCTTGCTTGGCTGAAAAACCGCAACAGCCAAGTGACTTTACTAGTCTCTTTGTTTTTCTTTCATCCTTCCCTGAACTCTGTGAAGATTTTTATCATCTTTTACCTTGGATCTTGCTTCTACATCTTGCAACAGACAATCAGCTGCTTGCTCTTCTGCTAGAGGTTTCTTTGATTTACCCTTCAGTGCCATCAAGTTTGACCTCAGATTGCTTGAACATCCAGACTGTATTTGACATATGAACAAAATCTGAATGTTTTTATAAATAGTATTTTTAGAAATGTTTTTATAAATACAGAGACATGCACAGTCCTAGCTAAGTTATTGAAATGTTTTTCAGAATGAAATATCTATGGACACCTTATGTTTGCATGCTTGCTGCATTTGGTGTGTGCTCTCCTGAACTTTGGATGACGCTTTTCAAGTGGCTTCGACTGAAAGCTGTGCACCCAATACTGCTGGTGAGTTGCTGATGTCTTGGGAATTACAGCTAGCAAGCATATAACTTTTCAAACAACAATTACCTAAGACCTTTAGAAGAACCCGTTAAAAGAACATGTAGTTCTGTGAGCAGTGGATCTCATATAGTCTGCTTTTTTTATGTCTTTTGTTCTTAATATTATGCTTTCATGCTTTCACATGTCCTCTGGTACCTGGTGATAAGGTTGTGTTCACACTATACAACCTTTCCTCATAAAAAGCAGAGCTGTCTTCATCTCTGTCTCTTTCTTCATCTGTTTCATTTCTTCTAACAAATCTTTGAGACCTCAAGCTGTCTGTCATATTTAGTTGAGACCAGCCAAGAAGGTCATGTGCTTTTTAGGAGGAGTGCAGAAGAAAAAGTACAGACGTGCAGGCGAGCATCAGTATAAGCCTTGTTTCACTAAGAAATGGTGCTAAAAAGTGGTAGTTAGCTATATTTAATTGCTGAGAGTAAGGCTGCTTCATAAGAAATGGTAAGTGGAATTACTCTGCATAAGATTTGTTCATGTGTGGCCATTATAGAGAAGTGTTAGATTGAAAATGAGCTTGTGCTACAGTGCAAACAACTCCCCCAGTCCAACCCTAGCTTAATTCTTAATAAAAAATAAATTGCTTTGTGCAATTTTTAGAAGCCTTGTGCATTTGTTTTATTAATAGAATAAAGATAGGATATTATTTACCTTAATTTTGAGAGGCTTATAGGAATAAATATTTTATACTTAAACAGAGATTGACTATGTCACTTGTGAAAATGCCATACACTGTTACATCAGAAAAATTGACAGTGTTCTTCCAATCAAGGAGTAGCAGTATGTTCATGTACATGGTAAACACATTTTTTTATATACCTCATGCTTTCTGCTATATAGACCTGCTTTTTTAATACTAACACAGTAGACGTGTTAATAGCTTATTATCAAGCGAATGCCATGTGTGCATTCCTCACCAAATGTTTCCTGTACCACATGAGCTATTTTCTCCTTTTTGCAAAGCAAAAATTATACCAGCTAGAATGATGGTGTGGTGAAGAATGGGTTTCTGGGTTTTGCATGTTAATATTGTTAATCTGAACAAAGCATCAACAAGATCAGAGGTTTGATATGTTTGTTTTGTACTTTTTTCCTTTCTCAGATTATTTCATTGCATTTGTATGTGAGGTGTTTCCTTCTGTTCCCTACATCATGTGCACATTGCATCATTGTTATTTCAGTAGCAATTAACCATCTCTGATATTGATGGTAAAGTTATCGTGGGTCAGATAAGTTCTCCCATGCTAAATTAGGCAAAATCTTGTTTGCAGAGAGTTTTTTTGCCTGGTAGAAAACCACAACATTTCACCTATGGTCACTCTAAGGTTTCAGGCATAAATGTAGCCTACTATATGAGTAGATCAGCAGATAGTCCAAGGTTGGAGAACAGAGAATGGTATGTATGCCATTTCTTCTTCTAAGAAGAATTGTATTCTTATATTTTCTAGGCTCTTATTCTGAGTATGGCAGTTCCCACAATAATTGGATTCAGCTTGTGGAAAGAGGTAAGAAAAGTACCTTTGTGGTTTTTATTTTGTATGTAGGAACAATGTGAATCAAAATGATGAGCAAATATAATGGTGTGCTTGGTGAAATGAAATATAGATCATGAAATTAAAGCTGTCATCCACTGAAAATATGGTGGGGGGGTTGCTGAGGTATTTTCCAATTTAATTTGTTAACAAATGCTTATTGTGATTAAGAAATACTTAAATTTAAATGAAGACTTTGTTATATTCAGATATTATGCTTTGGATATAGAAACTGACTCAACAAAGAAAATGCTGCCAAATAAAAACTCAAGAGATTGAAAACTGTTGCCCCAATCTTTAGTAAGAGGGAGTTAGTTTAGATGGAAGTAAAACTATGTGAGGCCTACGCAAATAATCTGTTTGCACAAAGCTCCCATCACATTCTAATGGAGTTAAATCTTTCGTGCAGAGCACTTTATAGAGGTATGCATATACTACAATACAGGGATTGTAGCTACAGATGTTTCCATGTTTAAAATACTTAGTTCTTTATTGCAAGTCACAGGCAGACTGGGACAAGAATACTTGAAAATTATTTTTTAAATTTCTGGAAATGCAAAAAATGTGGAAAGTATCCCATAAAGTGTAACCCTCTGCTATACTGACATAGCTTCAAAATAATTAGTTTGAACAGTTTAATAAGAATTCAAATATAAAAGCCAGTCTTGACCAACAGTATTTTAACAGATTTTGTAAGACCTATCATCATAGAAATTTTGATCTCAGTGTAATCTGACTCTTTACATATTTCTGCTGGAGCTCAAGATATTCTCCTGAAAAAAAGCTACAGTTGCTCAAAAGAGTTTTGAAATCTGTTACAATAGAGGAAACTAGTTGAGTTGACCAAATCTTTTCAGATTACTTTTTACTAAAAGCAGTGTGGGGGTTTGAACTCTAGAGGGCTTCATCCATTGCAGATCCAGCTTTTGGTTTTAGGCAGTGGTGAACAGTTTGCTCTTTTGGTTCATAACATCTCTGATCTTGGAAACTTTGATTCATAGTAATGAGACTGTGCAAATGCCCTGGGACTCTTAATCTATTACCGTGGCTATAAATGTCTGAGTGTACAGCTCAGCATCTTTCTGCTTGGCTGCCTTCTGGCTCAGTCTGGCATAATCCCTCATCGAGCTAGATTCTTCTAAGGGCTCTGATTGATAAGTAAAGTTGCTTCTCCTTAGGGTGGCAGTAGCAGTTCCTCTTCTGTGTCCATCTGTTGTCCTGGGGACAGTTCAGGTAGGTGTATAGCAGCACTGCTACAGCTTTGGGCCCTGATGCAAACATGGCAGTTGTTCTTGTGTACCCTAATATGTAGACTGCTATCACTTGACAGCTGAATTGTCCAGGTAATGGGGTGAAAACTCCTCAGTTAAAAGCAGGCTTCCACTTCCAATTGTCTGTCCACTATGGCTGTCCCAAGGTTAGTTGTCTGTTTAGTCTGGCATAACCTGTAAACTTTATCCTTTTCAAAAAGAACTGGCATATGGTTGCTTTCACTTAGCATTTACAACAGCATGAACATGGCTTCAGCCCCTCAAGGCTGGCCAGCTTCTAGCCATGCCTTCTTCAGATAAACATGCAAAATGGCTAAAGAACTAACAGAATATACCATCTTAATAAAGGCCCTGTTGTTCCTTCACCCCTCAAACCTGACAGGATAGGGAAGCCATGGTGCAGGCTTGCAGTCTGGGCTGGTCTGGAGGAGTTGGCATTCTGTCTAACTTCCCAGAATCCCTCCTTTTCCTAGAATGTTTCTTTAAAGAGCATAAACTGAAATATCCTACTTCATACAATACAGCATACTTTCCTTCACTGCAGTGATTGAAGTAAAAGTCAGAGGAAAGTCCAGGGCAGATTACCCACAATGATTTTCTGGGAAATGTCTTCTCTCCAGTCCAATCCCTCCAACTCAAGCAGGATTACCATGAGAGATTTATCAGCTTCTTCAGTGCCTTATTTATATGCCTTTGCATATGAAAATCTGAACTATGGTTCTGATGCATTTAAGGCCAGTTGATGACTGTTGTTGCCATGTAGGTTTCCATGGGTTTTTAAAAAAAATTTATTATAAGTATTCTAATAAAATAGAGAAAGGGGACTTATTTTGGAGGAAGTCTGCTGTCAGGAAAGTATAAACTGTGTTTTGCAAAATACTCAAACAAAAGTACCAATTAGGTGGGAAAACTCCGATTAAACCCTTTTCTCTTGTGTTTCTTAAAGCCTGAATATAGTGAGATGTTCTATAGTTCTGGGTTTTTTAACTGTAAGTAATCAAAAATACGTTTCCTTCAGTTTTTCCCTAGGATAATGACAGAGCTTTCAGAACTACAGGAATTCTATGATCCTGATACAGTAGAACTTATGACATGGATAAAGTAAGTGTGAAGTCCTAAATTTCTGTTTTATTGTTTTACGTCAGGGTATTTTTATCTCAGCATTTTGTGAAGCTACCTCTATTAATCGGAGTTTTCCCTTGCTAAGTTGTTCCATGATGTATGGGAGGAGAAACGTGTATTTTAAGTTTGGTAATGTTCCTGTAGAAAGAAACAGGAATATATCATTGATTACAAGAAGAGAAAATCCTGAAACAGGCAAGCAAATCATGTTTAATATAATTATTAGACCTAATTTCCAGATAAAGGTGGACATCTTAGTACTTGGTTCTTTGCCTGCTAGCTTTTCAGTAGATTAGAGGATTCATGTTGATTGTAATGCCAGTGGGGGACAGAAACCCTGAAAGTTTTGTGTGCATGAGCCAGTAAAATGAAATGCCTGAATGTGAGCATGTAGAGACTTCAGTCAGCATATGTGCAGTGTAACATGTACAATTCAAACTTTCCCTTTGACCAGAAGACTGAAAGGCCTGTCTAAGGCAGGGCGTAGCAAATACTGAGCTATGTTACATAGTTCATACCGAGACATATACGTGGCTAATACAGAGTCAGGTTATTTTCACAGATACATTTTTCTTCTCACTGGAAGTTTTAGAACTGGATTCTGGGCTCCTTCAATCTGACTTTGAACTATGTCATTAGGAATGTGCACTTGTCTGAAAATTAGATCCCCTGTGTTCAGATAACTTACCTTTAACTGTGTTTTTTTTAGAATATTATTTTCTGTATTATGTAGTTTTAATGTCAACCTGTTCATCTTCAGAAAAGGCAAGGCTAGTAATTATGGTGTTCCAGCCAATTTCTTCTTTCTGTTGATAGTAGTGTATGTTGTTTGTCACTGCTGTAGCTTTTCCAGGCAGCAGGTGGAATAATGCCAAGTACCTAATGGCTTTTACATTAGTCTGCATATATTACACTTCAAGTACATAATTAATCATGGTGAATTGCATTGAGATTCACTCAGCTAAGAGCAATTTGACTACCCTTATTTGTGGCAGCTGTTCATATTTTTAATGAAAATAAAGACTTTTTTTTTCTTAAGGATATACTTAGATACCCATATTGGAATTTTAATTGAATATAATTACAGTATATTTTCTTAAAATTTTCTCTCCGATAATATGAATTTATTTTGAATTTTCTCTGCAGGAAGAGTTGCCCGAAGTCTAGTAAAATGTGACAGTGACTCCTTTCACTAATGCAGGAATACAAATAGTCAAAAGATGAAGCTGAACCTAGAAACATAATTACTGTAGACATTATTCTGTATAATGGCATTGTTTACTCATAGATGATGAAATACATGGTCCTAAAGATCAAATTAAAATAATCACAAATCTTTCCCTTACAAGATAACATCATATTGTTTCTCCTTCTACCTACCCTCCCTCCCAAGCTTGTTTTGTCACAAGTCAGCAACTGTTCAGAAAAGCAGTAGCTTAGTCCATTCCGAGACCACTCTGAATGGTGCTCCAGGGATTGCAAGGAGAGGACGAGGAGGTCCATCAGCCCTTGCCCAGCGGGAGACCATCCTTGCAAACTCCATATTGCTGCAGGTCTGGGCTTTTCCCAGCAACGAAACTACTGCCCCTGCAGCATTAACACCAGTGTAATTAGCCCCCCAATGATATCTTCATTTACTCCAGTTCATACCATAGTGCTTAAAATATGCACACAGTGTATAAAATTAAAAACATTGTTTTGAGAAATACATCCTGTACTCAGATGTGTGTGTTGATGTTGCTTTTGCAGACGACAGGCTCCCGTGGCTGCTGTGTTTGCAGGCAGCCCACAGTTAATGGGTGTGATTAAGCTTTGTACCGGATGGATGGTGTCGAGCTTGCCTTTATATAATGATGATGATCTCATAAAAAGAAATGAAAATGTGAGTATCCAATTCCATAAATGTGTGTGTATTATCAGGGATTTATAGACTGTTCCATCATGTAAGACTGAAGTGCCTATCTGAGTGGGAGTACTGTAAATGTTAATGCTTCAGAGAAGATGACCTTGTAACATTCCTCATGACACTTATTTGCATTGCCCTTCTGTGCTGCCCAGGCCACCTGGCAATGCAAATTATTTGTTTGGTGCCAGTCCAATTACTGCCTTTTGTTCAAAGTGTTTACAGTCTAAGGTGAGAAAAGAGCATGATGTCTTGTGAAGAAAGTTTACAAGATAAAACCAATACATAATTTATAAGCTCATGAACAAGATTCCTTACTGAGCGGTGTGACCATACTGAGATTTAGGCAAGCTGTAATTTCTGAATGATTGCCTGCAAATTTTATTCTGCGTATTTTGTCACAGAGAAGATCACAAAGCAGAACAGACTTGCCCAGTGACTGCCTAGCAAAGAAATCAAAATTTCTAGATTACATTAGTTCTTAGTCTGTATTTGGGCACACCAAGATTGCAGTAGGCAGATGGAAATTTCTAGCAAGATACTGAACTTGGAAAGCATTTCACAGGAACTGTCTTCCTCTTCATCCAAATGTAGTGAGAAAAAAAAAAGTCAAATATATTGGAAGGAAAAAGGATGTAGGAGTCCAGCAAACAAGGAAGGGAGTATCAAGTAGATTATTAGTGCTTCACTCTGTCCTGAAACAAATATCAAAATATTTCTGAAGACTTTTCAAACCACTTGAAGTATATGAGAGGAGAACATGCCATCAGCAGAGACAAATGTCTGGCCGTTACCTCACCTATTTTGGAGATTTCACAGAATCACAGAATCATTCAGGTTGGAAAAGACCCTTAGGATCATCGAGTCCAACCCTCAGCCCTAGTCTACAAAGCTCTCCCCTACACCATATCCCCCAGCATCTCATCTGAATGACCCTTAAACACCTCCAGGGATGGTGACTCCACCACCTCCCTGGGCAGCCTATTCCACTGTCTGACCACTCTTTCTGTGAAAATTTTTTTCCTAATGTCCAGTCTAAACCTCCCCTGTTGCAGTTTAAAGCCATTCCCCCTTGTTCTGTCACTAACCACCTGTGAGAAGAGACCAGCACCAACCTCTCTACAATGTCCTTTCAGGTAGCTGTAGAGAGTGGTGAGGTCTCCTTTCAGCCTTCTCCTCAAACTGAACAGTCCCAGCTCCTTCAATCGCTCCTCACAAGATGTATTCTCCAAGCCCTTCACCAGCTTCGTTATCCTCCTCTGCACCCGCTCCAGCACCTCGATATCTCTCTTGTATTGAGGTTCCCAAAACTGGACACAGTACTCCAGGTGTGGCCTCACCAGTGCAGAGCACAGGGGGACCATCACCTCCCTGCTTCTGCTGGTCACACTGTCTCTAATACAAGCCAGGGTGCCGTTGGCTTTCTGGGCCACCTGGGCACACTGCTGGCTCATGTTCAGCTGCTTGTCAGTCAGAACCCCCAGATCCTTCTCTTCCACACAGCTCTCCAGCCACACCTCCCCAAGCCTGTACCGATGCTTGTTGTGCCCAAGTTGTTGTGGCCCAAGTGCAGGACCTGGCACTTGGCCTTTTGAAGCTCATCCTATTGATGTTGGCTCACTGATCCAATCTATCGAAGTCTCTCTGTAGAGCCTCCTTCTCTTCATGCAGATCAACACTCCCGCTTAACTTGGTGTCGTCTGCAAATTTACAGATGATACACTCTATGTCCTTATCAAGATCATCAATAAAGATGTTGAACAGAAATGGTACCAACACCAAGCCCTGCGGAACACCACTTGTGACCGGCCACCAGCTGGATTTATCTCCATTGACCACCACTCACAAGCCAGCCAGTGCTTGACCCAGCAGATTGTTCACTCATCCAGGCCATGAGCAGCCAGTTTTTCTATGAGAATTCTATGGGGAACTGTGTCAAATGCTTTTCAAAGATCCAAGTAGACAATATCCACAGTTTTTCCCTGGTCCAATAGTTGGGTCATCTTGTTATAGAAGGAGATCAGGTTTGTCAGGCAGGACCTGCCTTTCATAAACCCATGCTGACTAGGCCTGATCCCCTGGTTGTCCATTATATGACTTTTAATGGCACTCAAGAAGACCTGCTCCATGACCTTCCCTGGCACCGGGGTCAGACTGACAGGTCTATAGTTTCCTGGATCGTCCTTTCTGCCTCTCTTGTAGCTGGGTGTCATATTTGCCACCCTCCACCCCAATGGGACCTCCCCAGTGAGCCATGATTTCAGGTAAATCATGGACAGCAGCTTGGTGAGCACATCTGCCAACATTTTCAGCACCCCTGGGTGTAACCCATCTGGTCCCACAGACTTGTGTGCATCCAAGCGGTGTAGCAGGTCTCTGACCACCTCCTCAACTGTGCTGACCTCAGTCTGCTTCCCCTCCCCATCTCCCAGCTCATGAGGCTGGGTGTCCAGGGAACCATTTCAAACCCAAACATTTTATAGCGTGGTGTGTACATATAATATGTTATTGCATCTAGGTGATGTTGTTCCCCCTCTCCCCCAAGTATTTATCACAGATTTTTCATTGCATGAACATGTTTTCTTATTTTATAGATTTATCAGATCTATTCAAAGAGGTCAGCAGAGGATATTTATAAGATACTCACATCTTACAAAGCCAATTTTCTGATTATTGAAGATTCAATCTGCAATGAAGTGGGACCTGTAAGAGGATGTAGAGTTAAAGACCTGTTGGATATTGCTAATGGTCATGTAAGTAACACTTAAAAAAAAATGAATGTTTGAATGCATAAATAATTAATTTTAAAAGAAATCTTCTTATAATGGTGATCTTATTTTTTCTAATTGTAATCAACATGTAGACAGACTCGTAAATTTTATGTGATCAATTAATTAAATTTTGGTTTGTCTGTTTCTTATACACCTGTAATCTTACCTCATACTATTCTTTAACTGTGCTAATCCCTCCTAGTATACGAGTATCTAGCTGTGCTGCTTTTCTGCCAATCATTAAATACCATTTAACTATATATAAATGTTTTAAGACTGTAACACCTGAATAGATTATTACAAAAGTAGTGAAGGCCTGCCCTAGAAGGTATTCTTCACGAGCTTTAAAGATGAAATTTTAAAATGGATAAACTCAGTTGTTCTAAAATTCTGCCTGGGTTGAGGACTAGGCTGCCATTCAGTTCAGTACCACCTGTTTGGTACTGATGAGGTTACAAGTCTATTTGGTTCAGTCTTGCAGATGGGTTAGCACCCCATAGACAGTTTAAGCCACAGCTGGTAGAAAGATTGGTTGAATAAACTGTAGAGTTATGAAGCTATCTGTGAATGCTACTGCAGTATCTGTTCTGAATGCTGATAGTGCTGCTCTTGCTGCCAAAGCAGGGAATGAAATGGGGTTTATAAAGTGATCTTTTTACCACTTGTTCCATCTGCTTCTTGGGAATCCACAAAAGCTTGGACTTTATAAAGGCATGAGTAGCCCTAAACTCCCTTAGGGTTTGGTTGCTTATTCTCTGGTCAAGAGGAGAGAGGGAGTCTCCAGTTACTTCTAAAGCAGTCATAGGTTACATTTATAGTTTGAATGAGCTTCTTTTTTTTTTTTTTTTTGATACATACGTTTCTAGTATATAATTTTTGTATTCCGTTCTTGGGGAAAAATCCAAACTGTTCATCTGTGTTAGGTATTTTATAAGCTCTACTTTTGATGATACACGTTTCAAAAGAATTTGTAATGCAAGCATGTAATTTCTGTAGTTGCTTTCATTTGGGGGGGGTAATTATAGGGGTGGTATGTTTTTGGGGGATTATTTTTTAATTTTCCCAGGAATCTACAACTGGTATCAGTTTCACTTGTAGGTTTCCTGGCCAGTTTATCCGTGGAGGATATTGTCTCTGTTTTTCTATTAACTTCCTTACCTGTTGTGGTTTAACCCCAGACAGCAACTAAGTAAGCATCATGCAGCTGCTCTCTCACTCCTCCCCCCTCCCAGTGGGATGAGGAGGGGAATCAGAAAAAAAAGTAAAACTCGTGGGTTGAGATAAGAACAGTTTGACTAAAATAAAATATAATAATAACAATAATAACTAGACTATAATGTTACCAATAATAAAATATAATAAAATAATACTGTTAATAATTGTAATGAAAATGAAGGTAACAGAGATAAATAAAACCCAAGAAAAGACAAGTGATGTACAATGCAGTTGCTCACCACCTGCTGGTATGCCTGAGCAGTGTTCCACCCCTCCCAGCCAACTCCCCCCAGTTTATATACTGACATTCTATGGTATGGAATATCCCCTTGGCTAGTTCAGGAGGTCGGCTGTTGTGGCTGTGCTCCCTCCCAGCTTCTTGAGCACCTGCTCACTGGCAGAGCGTGGGAAACTGAAAAATCCTTGACTTAGGATAAATGCTACTTAGCAACAATTAAACATCAGTGTGTTATCAACATTATTCTCACACTAAATCCAAAACACAGCACTGTACCAGCTACTAGGAAGAAAATTAATTATATTGCAGCTAAAACCAGGATGCCATTGATGAAATCTATCCTGCTTTCTTTGTCTTGCTGATAAAATCATGTATGCCATGATTATTCCATGTCATAACCAATATATTGTACCATAATGGAGAGAGTGTGTGTATGTATGTATAACCTTCATCATTGATAATCAGCATGCTATCTCTCAGTTTCTTCTCAGATCTGTTTTTACATGAGTAAGTTCCTTTTCTCTCTTCACATTTAGGATTTCAGCTGGAACAGTTAACCACAATTTCAGGATTCCATTCCCTTGTGCCCTTTCATCTCTTATCTCCATGCTTCTGCATGCTTCTGTCTTGCACATAATCCTGATCTCATCGTAACTTCAGCAGCACAGTTTTACTGTCAGGTTTTTAAGTTTTTGTTTGATTCATATAGCAGAATAAGTTTGTTCTTTCTTTAATTCCTAACACCCAGTTATTCAGCAGCTCATCCTGAGGAACACTTCCCAGTGCTTTTCAGAGTGGTTGTTGCTTGCAATGATAATTTCAATCAAAGGGGGGAAAAAAACCTATGAAAAGACAATATCCAATGCAAGGAGCCTGTCTTTTGTAAATGCTACAAACGGTGCTGTCAGTACACAAAACCAGTCATTTACTATTTTTGTGTAATTAGAAGTGACAAGGTTTATCCTATTTATAGTGGAGAGATTAAGAAGGGGAAAAGAAGGTTCCTAATGAGAGATTTGGTTAAAATCTGTTCTGCTGAATGTCTGTAATCTAAATCTGTAATAAAACAACTGGTATATACATTTAAATGTAGATAACTGAGTGTCCAATATTTTTAGAACAAAACTGGTTGGCTAGTAATGAGCAACACTTCTGCTTCCTGTCTGTGGCTGAGTCCATACTTGGTTGGATGCTAAAAATCATAGTTGTAGAAGAAATGTTGGAATGGTCAACCAGGAATAAAATATTTTTTTTCAGAGAGTTGACATAGTTTGTTCCTGAAAGTTAGTATAGTGCGTTGTCTCAGGAAGCTTTGAAACAAAATTCTCAGTTTGATTGCTAACAAAAATTGTCAAAGTCATACTGAAAGATTGTCAAGACTTTCCAAACCAGTGGAAGCTAGTGTACATGTAGTTGTAGACTGCAGCATTTACTTATTCTCAGAGTGAGACAGTGGACAGGCTGTTATACTCTTGACAGGTCTATGGATGTGTTTTCTAAGGTAAGTGTTATTTCCTAGCTTGGACTGTGTCCTATAGACTGAGCCTGGTATCTCGTTTCTGACACTGGCTGAGAGCATATCATTATTGATAGGGTAAGACAGATGTTTTCCAGCAGTCACTTACTGAAGGACTCTAGTTCAGGGGAAATACCTTTGTGTTTGGTAGCCACTGAAAGATTTTTCTCCATGAAGTTGTCCTACTGCCTTTTTTTTTAAGCCCATGTAAATTTGTGCCATCAGAAGGGTTAGCAAAGGGATTTCTTTAAGAATATCACATAGTAGATGTTAAAAAGCATAAGCAATTTGCTTCCAAGTCAATTGGTTGGAATTTATAGGGTGATATGTGTGTGTGTCTTAAGTCTTTATTAGATTTGTCAAACTCACCTGGCCTGGAAAAGGTAATTGAGAATTTCCTTCCCTACATAGGTGGTATGCTATGTGCAGTTCAGATTTAAAGTACTGGGTAAACAGGGCATGTGGATAATTTATTGTATGAATAAAGCACATGTTTTTACTGTCTGCTATCCTGACAAAGGTATTAATTCACAAAGGCTATTTTAGATGGTTAAGCAAATTATAAGGAAATATGTTTTCAGTTTATTGGAATCCTACAATATCTATCCTAATGAAATTTACGGAATACAGGAGTAAGTTAAATGTACAGAACTACATTCTGTAACCACTTATCTTCAGTATTTTAATTAGATCTTCTTTCCTGACAGGTGGTTTGTGAGGAAGGCGACAGCTATGCCTACTCAAAATATGGACGATTTTGTCATGAAATCAAAATGAACTATTCTCCATATGTGAATTATTTTACTCGAGTATACTGGAATAGATCCTACTTTGTATATAGAATCAACACTGTGATATCTTTCCAGTCATGAAAAAGCATGCAAGCTTCTTTCTGAGGATTGATTGTGAATGAAACACAGTTGGAAAAGCTTCTTTTGATCAAGGAAGTTATTTTCGCAGATACATGCGTGCACATGCAGTGTATTGACAACTTTATTTTAACAAACTGGAATCCTTTGAACTACAGATCAACAGACAGAGATACCATTCTTGAAGGAAACAGGAAAATTTATCAATTTTACAGTCTCTACAAAGTGACAGTCTTCCACATTTTTGCATTTTTCTTCCTATTATAAATCTTCACGTAAATGAGATTTCTAACTTTAGTGTTAGAGAACTGCTGTGGATAGACTTCAGTAAATGCAGAAAAATCATTTAAAGAGCTCATTTAAGTCATACTGCTTTTATTTTCTAGCAAGAAAGCAATTGGTATCCTGAGTCCTTTCAAGTAAGTGTTTGGAGGGGTTTTTTGTTGCTGTTTTAATTCTTCCCATCTTCCACTGTAAACATTTCTGTGTTTATCAACACACATTCATACATCTTATGTGTCGCTATAGTGTTTGTTTAAATCAAATAAGGAAGATCTAATTTGAACACTTCCATAGGTGAAGACACTGATCTCTATGTGTCTTAGAGACGTGTTGATGGAAGTGCTTGTACTTAGACCTAGCTGTAGCAGTTGACAAGGTCAGATCTTCAGTTTGGAAAGAACTTGCCTTCAGGATTTTTCCATGCTTAAATGTGTATGTGTGTCTGCAGATGTGTGTCTTAGCTGCCATCAGAATGGGCCAGTATACAATCATGTGCTGTACTTGTTTTTAGGCAAGTGTAGCAGGACAACTACGTTTGCTGCTGAGACTTCTGCACTTCTGTTTCATCCCCTCTGTGTGCATGCTGGTATATGTGTGTGTCTGTGTGGGAATGGATCGGTGATACTCAATTCATTCAACTTACTGTGTGATGGTTACACTGAGATAGTGCCATAACTGTAATTTAAAACACTATAATCGCCACCATTAATAAATAGTGGTAGTAGCTATTTATATATCAGATATGCAACTACACTGAGATCTTTGAAAATTTGGGAAAGTACTCTGCAATCTTGCTTCCCTTTAAAGTTTGTCTTTCTTATATGACCCCCTTTGCCTCTACAACTATTTTTCTTAACAAATTGTCTGTTCATCCTGTTTGTTGCTGGCTGATATACTTTCAAGAAAATGAATGATGCTTTAATTCCAACTCTGGGCCTAATCCTGGTAAATGGAAATTGTAAATGGAAAATCCAATAAAAGGTAACGGTAACTTTGCTTATGTAGGTGTAGCTGGACAGAAAGCCAGGACATAAGCTTTGGAAGAAGATATTATTCACCCGTTCTGAGTTACCTTCAGTTAGGCATTCATGTAGCACCTGGCCTAGAGACCAGTCTATCAGGCATGTAGGAATGATTCTTTGGAACCCAGATATCTTTAATGAAGGATCTGGCGTAATAGGATGAACTTCCATCTGAAAAATCTGCAAGCGAAAGCTGCAAAACGATCCTTACTTCACTTGTCGATAAAATGCAAATTCAGAGATTTTAACGTTGAAATTATTAGGAATTGCAGCATGCTGGTGTATATGTGAGATTCTTATCTGCTCTATGCAGATATATTTGCTTACTTTACACTAAGAGGCAGTGCTGAGATTTTTTAAAAACCTATTATCACTATTGGAGTGATTTAAAAGAAAAAAGCATTATTGTTGTAAAAGTCAACATGTCTGTAATCTGTTTTTTACTTTCAGTTATATTTTTAGGCATATGAGTCTTGACAAGATGTTAAATTATGCGTTTAATTTGAAACCAATGTTCAGATAAATCCATCTAATATACTGGATGTGATCACTGAGAGAAACTTTTATCAGTGTAACTGAGTTACAAGTGAAAAGTGAAAAAATATCCTTTCTGGGGATAGAGTCATTGTGTTGAGGGCAGTGTGTAGTGCGTCTCTGGTCTAATGCAGCCCGCATTTATTTGCTTATGCACAAGTGCATATGTTTTACTGCACTGGACTGTTTCAGACTTTCCATTTACCTTATAGCAACATGCTAGTGTATTAACTTGAGCTATGGCAGGCCTGCTGGAGCCTTCTCTGTATGTGCTAGTATGGATGTAGATGTAGTATTTGGAAGTTTAGAGTTTCTTACACAATTTAAGTTTGTTTGAAACATTGTCAAGGAATTACATCTCTTGTGTGTCAGTCATTTACCTGCTTGAAGTTAATCATTCATGAATATCATTTCATAACAGCAATAAGGCATTCCAGGTAGCAAACTTCAGGGTTACAGCTGCACTTGGGTGGATGAAGTCACTTACGGCTTCATGCCTTAGACTGCCATGCCAAGATGCAATATTTAACTATCCTTGACTGCCTGTTGTGTTTTACCGCAGTGCTGTATGTATGTGTTACCACATAGAACGTAGTTTGAATACTTACATGTAGAGCACACATGTTAAGAGAAATGCAAATGAGGCCATTGTACAGCTAACGAAAAATACTTTGTAGCACGTTGGCCTTTATACATGTTTAAACAAACATGTTGAACTTTATTTGAACTGTGACATAGTTGTTGTTATTAGTTTTGTCATAGTTTTTAAGATATATTCTTGATACTTCAATTGATTCTGCTTTAGGAGAATCATTTAAGATTTTTACCTTGCTTTTTATATTAGAGAAAATTGTATTGCAGTACCATTGGCACAGCAGCCTTAAGTAACAGAAGGAGCCTTTTATGTGGGAGAAATATTGCTGTTGTTCCAGTAAAAAGGCGTAATTTTTAAACTGAGTGACTGGAGGAATCATATCTTACACAGAAAGTGATGAGCTTGAATTTCTTATCCAACTATGGGTTAGTAAAAATATTATTGTCTATTCTAACCTCTACCTTATGTGAAAAATAAACAGTAAGTTTCATGGTATCCCTCAGAAGAACAGCAATAGGGCATAATTACTTCCGACTTTTACACACAACCCTAGCTTGGTTTTCAGCCAGGTCGCAGGTTTAACTCCATGAAAGGGCTGGGGGAATGTTTTGCAAATTTTGATCTGTTTTGCTGTAGATGTTGCAATTCAGTTGAAACATGTGCCTTGAAAGCTTTTATTAAACAAAAACCCCCTCAATTTGTGTTTCTTTTTGTGAAGATTTCTGGTTGTTTTAATTCCTGTCTCTCTGATTTCTAGAACTTCTGTTGTGTCTTAATACCCCAGCGTCCAAGGATGCTCATGTAGTAAGTGGTGCAGCTATCTAACAGCTGTTCACTAGGAAGAAATTGCGTAGCAATTTGTACTGCTACTTTGCTGGCTTATTTCTTCCTTCAGATTTCCAATTTCTGTTATGCTTAGTAAATGCAAAAAAATTACCTTGAAAGAATAAATTGAGTATAGTATTTTCAGGCACTTACCTGTTACTGTTAGACTTGTGGATTAAAGTTAAATCAAACCACAACTAAACTGACATGTACAGTTTTGTCTTAACTTAAAAAAACTCTCTCACTTCCTGAATTACCACATACTTGAACTCAGTTGATAGATTTGCCAGATGTTTGAGACTAATTAAGGCATTTCAGAATATAAGCTTCTATTCATTTTATTTTTTAAAAATACTGTTTTCATTTCTTCCAGAGTAAATGGAAATACAGTTTAGTACAATACAATCCTAAATACAATTTCCAGTGGTGGGGTAAGGAGATACACAAATATGGAAGAAGGAGGGCCAAAAGATTTACAGGCATTGAAAATTCTTCAATCTATTTGCTCTGGTGGAATTACTGTTTACTGAAAAGTAGAAGGTTAGGGACCAATTCTTGTTCTTACCACCTTATTTTCACTTAGACATCTGCAAATGTCCAAATCTTGTGACCCTTCATCAGCTTTCCCGTGCAGTTTGTGTGAATAGGAGCTGCAAGATCAGGTGGTAGGGATTGTAAACTGTCATTGAAACACTTCTTAATGACTGCTGTTAATGGCATGTAACCTATCCTTTAACCAAAAATCTAACAAGAGAAAGCCTAGGCTGTTAGTGTGAATGCGTGGGCATGCTTGTTGTATTTGCATTTAGAGAGGTCTGGTTTACTACTGTGTTTTGAAGATGTAATGAGTAACTTCTGTTATTGCTAATGGTGATCGAATCTATAAATCTAAATATTGATGGGCAGGTGGACTCTAGAGTACTATGGTATTAGAAATGAAAGAAAAGCTGAGTTTATTCCAACACAAGCAATATTTCATGCAAACTAATACCTCAATATAAATCTGTATAATCATGCCTTTAGCACTCTTTTTAAAACTTAATTTTAGGGGGGGAAAAAAAAGTGAAAATTCTGAAACATGCAGTGTCTGTTATTTTAGTAATCATTTCTACTTCATCAGTACAGCTAAAAGTAAATATCACCATTACGTTGCTGCACTCTTACTACGCCAAATGCAGAGCTAGTGATGCCTAAAGGTCTTCTGAATTGTTTGGTACCTCAACTAGATGTTTAAATGTGTAATTAATCTGGCAGTGTTTTTGATTTCAGCACAGTTAAATGTATGTAATTCTGCCTTTCGAGTGATGTTTAAGGTTACCTATTTATTTTATGGAAAAGAGGTGGATGTTTAATGCCTTTCAAAGTTTCAAACTTTGTTACTTCAGTAATGCAGAACAATTATTGGTGGTGCTTTACTTGTTAACAGTGACATTTAGCAGTAGCGTATATAGCATATGGACATATCTATGTGCAGCTATTTAATAACAAATCTAAGGAATCCAATTCCTTTTATCCTGTTTGTTGTCTTGGACAGTTTTTTATCAAAGTAATGTATACATAGTAAATATTTTTCTCTTGTGACAAACTTTTTTTCTGTGAAAAAAAATAAAGTTGTAATAAAAGCCAAGTCCAGAAAGTGGAGTGTTTGGGACACAAACCGTTTTATGCTTTCTTTTGAGAAGTCTGATACTCTTTCACCAAAAACGTGTAGTTCATAATGAATTAACCTCCTTCCTCTGTTGTGATAATAAAATGATTTTTATATTCTATTGCATTATTTGCATATGCAATTATCAGTCAAGTGAAGACTGTGCAGTATAGCTCAAATATCTGTCTTATTGGCTGATGGAGCAGCGTAAACACTCTTGCACCTCTCAAGGATCAGCAGCCTGCTCAAACCAGATCCATGTCATGCTGACTGTAACTACCTGTTGAGACACACTGGCATGAGGATGAGGGGCAAAATATGGAATTCTTGAACTCTGACTTTCTCCCTAAAGATCTCCCTACAGCAAGCATGTCACCTGGAAATAAATTGCTATGCAACATCAAATGCTTACTGCTTTATTTTTTTAATCAACTAATGTATCATCTGCCTTGAATTTTTACAGATCATGATTACATATATTGGAGCCTTCTATCATTTTATGATATTATTAGTAAGAGTGTAATCTTTGAATGCAGACTACTTTGTAATAATTTACCATGTAATGATATGAAAACCTTGAGATTATTTTAGTTAAACTCAGAAGATGCTAGAAATACTTTATGAAGTGCTTCTCCAAAAATCGATCATATAGCACCTAAAAAGTATATATTTATGTCTTAAATTTATAATGGTTCTGAGTTTGAACATTCATCAGACTGTTTCCTTTTAGACCAGTCAGGAAATGTGCTGATGTTGAAGTATTCAGATTTATCCATAAATTCTTCAAGCACCCAGGCTTTGTGATTGCTTAGCTGAAAGGGGAATGGAGCTTCCTGGCACCATGACATCTATATTGGTGTTTGTGTACTCTTCCATGTCATTATTCAAAACTGAGACCATGATTACCAGCTGTGAAATACAGAATATTCCATTATATAGAATAGAGTATATATTTATTTGTTTATATAAATAGGTTTATATAAAAGTGTGTATATGTATTTTATGTGTGTATATATCTCTGTATAAAATATATATTCTGATTATAATCAATGTTTGAGAGGTGTTGGGTAAAACTACTGTTGGTTTGGGGGTTTTCCCCCTTCAGCGGTAATCTGTAATCTGTTTTTAGGACCTAGTTTCCCAGATCTCCCAGTTCTTGTGGTGACCCAGACTAGGATACTTCAGTTCCCATATGCGTTTAACAAACGCGATAGACACCTTTTAATAGTAATGGGATGAAGTGCATCTCATTATTAATTAAACTGCATATATAAAATATACAAACATAGAGTAATACTGAACTGTTCAGTAGATTGTAACACCAGCAGCACATACATTTACCTTCAGAATTTTGAGTATCTTTTTAAGGCCTTGGAATTTCTTCTTGTTTCAAAGTTATAACTCTGGTGTCTGTTGTCAAGCCTTAACTCCTGATGGTAATATAACTGATGGGTTCTAGGGCAAGACTGACTTTTCTACACTGTCGCAGTAAATACCAGCAGATTCTGTAAGATGAGGGTGAATATGAAATCATGCCCTAAGCCATTCTCCCCTCTGAAGGCTGACAAAGGCCAGGCAAAAATGCAGCCACTTGCCCCTTAGTGTCTTGCGTTACACTGTCTGCAAGAGGCTCAGCACAGAAGCTGTAATCTCACCGGAGTAATTGCTGGAATGAGCACGTGGGGTTTCCTTGGTTCATCTAACTTCAACCCTGGACGGCAATACAAAATCACTGCTGCAGAAGTGATTGACCTGTTTATGCAATTTTAGAAAGCTATATTAAAATTAAATATTGTTTTCGTTTAATTGTGAAAACTTATTTCTGAAACACACTAACTGTAATTTGCATCTATTTCTGCATTATTAACACCTGGGTAAATGCTGCTACTTTTTTTTTTTTTTTCCTCCCAATTTGGCCAGTTTTACAATGAACTGAGCTGTAGTCCAAGCTGCTGACTGCATTCTAGGTCCCAGCTGTGAGAGAGAGCCAGAGGAAGGCTGTTGGGCTTGCTGGTAGTTTGGCCTCAGAATAGAAGTTCTTTCATTTAGTGGTTGCATTTCACAGTTCTCAGTTCACCAGATAAGGTTTCCTAGAGAAGAATCCTAAAAATAAATTTCGCTATGATTCTTTGGCAATAGAAGCTGACAGTGTCCTGAAGGTATTTAAGGAGCTTATTCCAGTTGTTTACATTATTTCTTCTGTGTTGTTCCCTCTAAGAGCCAAGAGCCGTCACCTCTTGGGCTAATGCAGTATCAGTCTGTGGTTTCTGCTTCAGTTTCATAGGAAGAGTAAAGTTCCTTTGGAAAATACAGCTACACAGAAAGAGCCATACCGTTTTCTTGGCAGTGTCCTCAAAAGAATAAGAGGTTACTCCAGAATGGCCAGTCTTGTAGCATTTAGATATATACTGTACATGCCTATACACATATAATACAGTTTTTGAGAATTGCTTACCCTTCCTTAAACTGTTTAGCTGCCAGTTGATCCTTGACAAGCACATAAAATCAGCTGTGAACAGTGGAAAAATTTTTTTGCTGGTTTTCAAAGTGATTACTAGGACAGAGTATCACCCACTGACCATAGAGAGCCCCAAACATGAGCCTGTGCTTTGATTTCCATGATCCTCATTAGCTGAACTGCACCTCCCTCCCCACCCCACAATTCCAGAAGAAAAGTGGTTTTAATTGAAAAGGCTGATATGGCAGAGATGTTTAATATTTTCATAGAATCATAGAATGGTTTGGGTTCGAAGGGACTTCAAAGCTCATCTAGTTCCCACCCCCCTGCCATGGGCAGGGACACCTTCCACTAGCCCAGGTTGCTCAAAGCCCCGTCCAACCTGGCCTGGAACACTGCCAGGGAGGGGGCAGCCACAGCTGCTCTGGGCAACCTGTGCCAGTGTCTCACCACCCTCAGTGAAGAATTTCTTCCTTATGTCTAATTTAATCCACCCTCTTTCAGTTTAGAACCATTCCCCCTCATCCTATCCCTACACTCCCTGATAAAGAGTCCCTCCCCATCTTTCCTGTAGCCCCTTTAAGTACTGGAAGGCCGCTATAAGGTCTTCCCAGAGTATTCTCCAGGCTGAACAACCTCAGCTCTCTCAGCCTGTCCTTTTATGGGAGGTGCTCCAGCCCCCTGATCATCAAGACTTTCCTATTTCTAACAAAAAAATATAATTTGGTCCTTTTGTTATCATTTGAAAAAAACATCCAAACAGCCCATTACAAATAACTTCTACCATTTCAAAACATTTAATGCATGTATAACTGCCCAACACCAGTAAGAACATGTCTGGCTGGGATGCAGCCACGCAATTTTAGAGCTGGTAATCACAGTCAATCGCATCTCAGAAGTGTTTGTTTCTCTTTAAATTGTAGGGTAGGATTTGCATCCATAAATTAATGTATATTTGTTTTGTCACAACACAGGTTTTGTGCAATTGGGTATTGAAAATAACATAGTTGTCCTAGTAAGTATCCATAGCGGCAAGCTTGTTGCTGGTTCTGCTCTTTAAGGTGCATCATAAATTCTGTCAGTGGGGTCACGTGCAGCAGAAGCCTAAATTTACATCACCAGAATGCTGTCTTAGTGAATGTATTAACAACGCATCGGTTCCTATATGTGAGGGAGTACTGTGAACAAAATCCAGCTTATATCTTGACAGGTTGTAGACAACACTGTGTGTTTCTAAATACGTGAGTATAAGAGACTAGACAGGGCAGAATGTTGTAACGTAGGCTAAAATTGGGCGCTTGGATTTTGAGAGGATTTGTTTGTTGAGAGTTTGTGTAAGGCCAGCAGGATGCGTCACATTTCAGAAGAGGGTATGTTGCTCTGTATCTCAGTATTGATCTAAACTTGTCCTGAACTGAACATTTGTTCAGGTGATCTGGCTGGCTCATTAAGTGTCATAAGTTCATGAGCTTTCTAGTGCCTTTGTGAGACAGGGAATTATTCACATTTTATTGTTATATAGGACACAAAGAGTAAAGATAATGCACTCAAAGCTTGCTACAGGGGTTAACCATGGATGGATCTTGATGATTACTTTCCTGTTGTTACAAGTAAACATATCCTTAAAAATATGTGGGCTTACTTTTTGCCTTTCCAGTCTAAGATCTCAAAAATCTGATATTTAGAACCAATAATCTCTTCACCTTGATAGGGTAAAAATAAAGGCTGACAGCTTGTAGTAATGTGATGTGATCTCCCAGCGATCACCTCTCCTTAAAGCTGGTAATTCCCCGGGTGGCAGAGGTGCAGATCTAGCAGTTGGTTGTCATCTCTGACTTACCCGTAATATTTAACTAAAGCTGATTGAAATGGCTTCTGGCTTTCTTGAGCAAAGCTTCACTTCCAGGCTAGATATGTCATCACTGAAGTTACACACAGCTGGGAACAAACACGCCTTCCTAACAGCCTGCTAGTAAAACTAGCAAACTTGTGTTTGAAACAGAAAGAGGGAGCCTTTCTCACGGAAAAATGTTAACACAGTTTGACCAGCTGGATGCAGAGGCTCAGGAAAAGGCGGTTCCTAAGCTAAGTTCCATCACTGTGCAAGGGGAGATGTTGGTTTTGTTTATTAGCAGGGATGCAAGACGCTGCTGGGGCTTGTGCTTGGAGCAATGAGAAAGTGAATAATGTTTGGTTTGATGAGTGGTGGAGGGTGATGGACATTGGAGCGGTCTGGCTGGGATTCGTTCTTCCATCGATCACCATGCAATGATGCCCATGCCCAGCTTGTTTTACACGTGTTTTGCAGGACCGATGCATTTGCCTAATTCAGAAGGACCATTTCAGTATTGCTCTCAAGAGCTGTTCTTTTCCCGCAAGTATTTCACTGGAAGACTGAAATTTTAAAGGCAATAATTGGTGCTATTGTTCATGTATTATGCTGAGACGAGTTTTGCCCCTTTTGCCAAAAACTACATCTTCCCTGAAGGAGCAGTAACCTGTACATGCACTCCTGAAAGGCCTCGCTTCCAAGGCAAGCCCAGCTCACATGAGAAAAATACATCTGCTTGGTCACAACTATTTTTCGAAGACTCGGGCATTCCAAGGCCCTCTCTCCTTTCTGCAGTAGTGTTCTTTCCTCTGTTTCTTTTACCGGTTGCTCTTTAGCTTGGCTGGGGTTTTTCATACACGCTGAGGAAAGCAGGCGGTTTCCCGTTTTCTCCGAAGCCGCCCCCCGCGCAGCGCTGCTCCTGTCT